GGCGTCCGGGGTGGGCAGCGGCTCGACCGGCTCGAATGCGAAGGATGGCGTTGTGTTTGGCGGCATGCCGGGCTGGTGAAGGGAGTGGGGTAAGACTGCATGTGCAGTGGAAGCTCGCACGGCTCTCGACTCGGTGCGGATGTCGGAGGTGGACACCAACCAACACTCTCTTCTGCTTGACTCACTCGGCCCGGAACATCAAATCTCGAATACTCCCAACTTCGAGACGCGTGTGGCGTAAATTACACGCGTGCCGGCAAGGCTTGATTCGCACGAGAGAACAGGGGAAGGGAGGCGCACGTACCTTCGGTCAATAATATCCTCCGGCCCACGCTCGATTCAACTCAGCCGGTCACCGCAACTGCTCCTTGCGTTCCTCTCCCTACAGCAGATTCCTACGCCCTCGACAACCCATTGGCACACCAACACCCACAAGCGACACGGCCGCGCCACTCGCAGCAGCAGGCACGCTATCCCACGCCATGGTCGCAGCGCTGCGCACCGCTCGCGCCCTCCGCCGTCCACTGGGTCACGTGCGCACCATCTCGTCGTCCCACCATGCCGCCGCCGAGAAGAGGTACTATCCGCCACCAGAGCCGTTCGTCGGTGGCGAATCCGTCTCCATCCAGCCCTCGCCCTTCTCCACCTTTGGCGCCTCGCCCGATCTGCTCACCCACTATCTCTCGCTCCAGCCAGCGCCACTCACGCTCCGCCAGCTCATGGCACAGGGCGGCAAGCCTGGCCAGGCGCTCACTCCCGAGCAGCTGCTATCCTCGGCACAGCACACCCACCGCGAGCTGCCCATCCGCCTCGCGCGGCGCGTCGGTGGTTTCCGTGCCCTCCCCTTTATCGTAGGCAGCAATCCGTTCATCTCGCGCATCGCCCGTCTGTACGCCTCGAGCTTCGAGACGCTCGTCAAGTTCGGCCCTATCCATACACAGGACGACAATAGCCGCTTCACCGCCGTCATCGAGGATCTCGTCGCTGCACACGCACAGAATATCCCCACCCTCGCAAGGGGCTTTCAGGAGTCGAGAAAGTACATGGACGCACGCCAGATCTCGGCGTTCCTCGATGCCGCCATCCACTCGCGCATCGCCATCAGGATGATCGCAGAGCAGCACCTCGCCCTCTCCGCCACATCCAACGACCTACGCCACCTGGCTCCCAAGACCACCAACAACATCGCCCAATCGCCACACAGCCCCGACCCAGATCTGCCGCCCGAGGGGACCAGCAGTCAGGTCCACCACGAGTACGGCTCGCCCACCGCCGTCGGCATCATCGAGACTCAGCTCAGCCCCGCACGCATGACGCGCATGTGCGCCGCCTTTGTACGCGATCTGTGCGAGGGCACGCTCGGCGCCGCACCGCAGCTCATCCTCGAGGGCGACCTCGACGTGACCTACACCGGTGTGCCAGTCCACCTCGAATACGTCATGACCGAGCTGCTCAAGAATTCCTACCGCGCCACTACCGAGAATTTCTTCAAGCACTCCGGCTCCTCCTCCACCGCCGACATGCCGCCTGTCATTGTGACGATCGCGCAGTCGGCCAACCACGTCTCGCTGCGCATTCGCGATCAGGGCGGCGGCATCTCGCCCCAAAACCTGCCGCACGTCTTTAGCTACGCCTTCACCACCGCCGGCACCAGCGCCGAGCTCGAAGACGCCGAAGAGAGCGGCGGCGGGCCGTACGCCATGCAGGCCGTCGGCGGTACCGGTGGCGACGCGCTCGCAGAGATGGGCAAGATGGGCCTGGCCTCGGGCCTCGGCACGCTCGCAGGCTTGGGCTACGGCCTGCCCATGGCAAGGATCTATGCAGAGTACTGGAAGAACGGCTCGGCGCTCGACCTCGTCTCGCTCTACGGCCATGGCTGCGACACCTTTGTCAAGTTGCCCCGCCACATTGAACTCTCCAACACCGTCATTTGAACCGCCCCCGGCCCCGACTCACACTCATGTATTTGTACCGAACAGCATGCACACGATTCTTCTTCCACTCCAAGCGCGCGCATGTTTGTGGGATTGGGATGTTATACGATCGATTAAAGCACGAGGCACAAGTGGTCGCACGTTGCGGGGCTGGGCGTGCCAACTACAGCACACTACCAGCACACTCGACGGTCGCGAGTTGCGGGGGTAAGAGGCGTTTACTCCTTCTTGTTGAAGGGGATGACGGGCAGCGTGAAGAACGAGTTGTAGGGCGTGAGGAACGAGGCGATGCCGAGGTAGTAGCCCGAGAATCCGGTCGCGATGCCAAACGCGCCACCGGCGGTCTGGAATGCCGAGTTGCCCGTGTAGTAGAAGCATCCGAGCATGATGAACGTCACCCACAGCAGGAAGATGAGCAGGAACAGCGCTCCCGATCCACGCAGCGAAGCGATCTGTACAAAACCCGAAATCACACAACATTGTAAGTCTACATTCATGCATGTACTCAAGCTGGGGGTTTGGGCGAGGCTGGAACTTACGAGGTAGATGGTGGTGATACCGAACCAGATCCAGAGGTACAGGCCTACAGCCGCAGCTTCCTCCGAGGCGTAGGGCGAGCCCTTGGAGTAGATGCCGGGCTGACCGTTGTACGTGCCCACGAAACCGAAGAACGGAATCTTGTCACGCAGAAAACAAAAGAGTCAGCATGAAGAGTCTCTCTCTCTACCTCACGAGCGGAAGTGCAACTTACGAGAATCACCGAGTAGCCCCACCAGAACATGCCGAAGGAGCAGAACACGGTGGCACCAAACGTGTTGCCGCTAGCAAACTCCCACAGACCGGCAAGGAACTGTGCCAGACCGCCGTACGAGATGGCGTACCCGAGCACAGCGTTCGGCACCTCGATACCAGCCACCTGGATGTTAAACAGCGACAGCAGCAGCGTCGTCGTCGAGAATCCAAACACTGGTTGTAAACCCGATCAGAAAAAGTTTATGTCAGTCGATCTGCTCCTGCCTTGTTTGGGCTGAGGTCAGAGAGCGTTGTTGCGACTCACCTCCAAGGGGAAGGGGGTTTGCGATCTTGCGGTGTGCGTTTGCGATGGCGATCAGGTCGTCGTCGGCATAGTGACCGCCCGGGGTGAGGGTTCGGCTAAGGCCGGCGTGGGTTCCGCCACCGTTGTACTGGGGTGCCTGGTGCGGGAACGCCTTTTCCTCAAACGAGTGTCCGTTGCCGTTGCCGTTGGTGTAACCATTGGCGTGGGCACCGTTCGAGACGGTGGATGCCGTGCCGTTGGTCGGGGCAGCAGCGGCGGTCATCTGGTGACCGTTGGCGGTGTCAACCTGCGACATGATCGTGTGCTCAGCAGAAAGGAGGAGTGTGCAAGAGGGAATGGACGTGGGATGATGGTGGTTAGGAAAGACGAGCGATGCTGGCCACCAAGATGAGGGTGGAAATCACAAACCAAGCACGATCGTGTCTCCTGGCAAAGCTCTCCCAACCACACGTTCCCATGCTGTACAGTAATGCACTCTTGCCGCGCGCGTGTACCGATTCGGGCGTGCGGGGCAAGCATGGCGGTTAAACCGACTTTGGTGCGGTCGCGAGCGAGACACGAAAATACTGCAAGAGGGCTAGCGCGGGGCAAGAATGACACACATGCGTCCGTTGGCGAAATGCACAGGGAGGCAGACAGCGAGGTAAGCGAGCAATGCGGAGGTGCACGAGCCAGAAAGAGCTTTGCATGCAAGCCAAGTGAGTCGCGCGTGTTGATGTTGTGGCGCCCGACTGTCGAGTTGGGCGAGCGGGCGTCGGGGCGAGCGGGGGATGCAGGCGTGCCGTTGTCCCACCGCATGCCCGCATCGGATACCGCGGAGAAAAAGCGCGTAAAAATGCGCATGCCGCGGCCGAGGACGCCAGAAATGCGGGGTAACGTCGCACAAGGCCACTCTCTCGCTCCCATCGCAAAGAGTCCGCACGGCAGTGTGACGGAATGCAAATCAATCTCCGCCCCGCGCCCCGCGCGCCGATGCCGAGCGAGCCGAATGACCAGAATCGCCCAACCAGGCATGCTCCCATCCAGTCAGCCTCCCCCGAACACACGTCGCCGAACCCATCCATCGCACACTCCGACGGCATGCTGTAAATATCGTTCGACGCATCAGGAGTGCGGCGCTGCGACTCGCTTCTCGCATCATTGTTGGGGGATGCGGTTGGGCCTCATGTGACCCCGCCGCTGAGCACCATTCTACATTGCTCTGTTGTTGGGCAAGCGCGATGACTCGGTGGCACAAGGAGGACCCTGCCAAGCGCCGCGCCACTGTCCTGCCTCGCGTATCCCCAATTCGAGCGGTGAGACCTGTGCGGATCGTTGCGAGCGCTCCAAGCAAAACAGCGGCTCTAAGCTGACTGAAGGCTAGCGGCAGCATCTGCACGTCGACGGGTAATTCTGGTGTAGCGCGTTCGTGCATGCATTGTCGTCAGATCGACGTGCATCTGCGCTACTCGTCTTGCATGCTCAGCGCGCACTGGGGGCCATCAATTCTGCAACAAGCGGCTGGCGCGATCGCAACCACTGCGCTTACCCCGCACATTCTCGCTTGCATCTAAGTCACTCCAAACACATTGGCAAGCCATGTTTGCCCGCACAATCCGTCGCATCGAGCCCATCGCGAGTAGAGCCTCACATGCCGTTCCTCGCGCGCCCCCCCTCTCACCTTATGTTGCCTTGCCGAGACCACACGCCGCGTGCTAAAAACGCAAGCTAGGCTTCCCCATGCGACTTGGTGTAGTGTGTCACGACCTTTTTTTGGTTCAGCCGCGTCTGGTGTCCTCGGTGCTTGACCGTTCCCACGCTCCTCGATTTCCCCCAGCTGGCATTGCTGATGGTCTCTGTTGGCTCGTTCATCACGCCCTGCCCCGCTCTGAGCTGTGCGGCTGATTGCTCGACCCCATCTTACCTCCTCCGACCTCTCCACCATCATCACCATCGTCCGGTAGCTGCTCTCCACTCCCTACCTCCACCATCTGTCTTTTCGCTCGACACTTGCGTTGATCTCAAACAACATGGCTGTCAACAACTACAAGCACCCGAACCTCAAGGAGCAGTGGGGTCTGGCCGAAGACCCCAATGCGAGCGACCACATTGTCACCTCTCGCGGCCAGAAGCTCACGCGAACCGTCACCGCTGGTGGCCATGACGTCGACTCGTCCCAGCCCGGCTTCCCCATCTATCACCGCCGCATTGCAAAGTAAGCCTGGATCGGGATCTGGTTTGTGAAACGTGACAAGAAGCTGACCCTTGCTTTGTGTGTGGCTAGCCCTTTCCCGCTGGTGTGCATTGCTACGGGAGCATCGGTGCTGATGCTCGGATTCATCCTCGTGCGTAACCGCAGCATCACCAACCCTTCCATCTGTAAGTTGCAAGCCGCGCCCAAACATTCTTGGCTGCAGTCACAGGTTCTTACCATTCTCTCTTTGCCGTGATTAGACATGGCGATGGCGCTGCCTCTGGGAATGTTTGGCAACTTTGCTGCGTGCATGTTTGCCTTTGCCGAGGGCTCGACGTACCTGGCCACGATCTCTGGTACGCTCGCGGGCCTGCTGGGCGGTACGGCGCTCCAGTTCCTGCCGTGGACGGGTATCCAGGCGACGTACCTTGCTGGCGGTGCGGCTGGCCTCAACGAGTACTACAAGGCCGAGGCCATGGTGTACTTTATCGCGCTCATCCCCATCTTCCTCATCTTTGTCGCCTCGGCTCGCACCAGTGGCCCCGTCGCAGGTGCTGCGCTGCTCATCACGGTCGCACTCGCACTGCTCGGCGCTGCGTACATCGGCGGCGCGGAAGATTTCATGGTTGCCAAGGCCTCCGGTGCGATCTTCATCATCATCGGCATCATGCTCTTCTACGCCGCGCTCTCCGTCATGCTCGCCGAGGAGGGCTGGAAGATCCTCCCCGTCTTCCCGCTGCCCCGCCTCGACTAAATCGCACCAGGCACCAGCGCGTGCACCCGCTACCATCTGTCTTTAATCTTGCACCGTCTCCGAGCCCCAGTCAGGGCGCGAAGGGATCTTTGTCTACAATGTGGAATCCAATGTCCGAGTAGGCGCAAGCGAGTAGGCGCCAGGTGTGGACTAGTGTACAAGGCTAGATTGCAACACCTGTTGATGGCCCGTGTTGGCGCATTGTGGTACGCGCTTGTCCGCTGCAGCCGGCGGTCGCATTTTTTCCCCGCGCGCCGAAGCCGGAAAATGGGAAATGTTATGTCGTTTGTCACAACAATTTTGGCTATTTTCGAGTGTGGATTCTTCGCTCGGCTATCTACCGCTAAGCCACCGCCAGGGCACCCCCACGCCAACAGCAGCACCTGCTTATGCCGGTACAAGACGTCACAACTGTCTTGCCTCTCAACCTCATCCTAGCATCTACTCGACCTTCATCTGCGCATCTCGCTCACGCAACATGGACATCGAAGGGTACGTGACCATCGCTCTCAGATCGACTGCTGGATGCTGACGATAGTGCTGGTTTGGTCGACAGCTTCCGCAAGGCGGGCTACGCCGCTGTGGACCGCATCTGCGACTACTATGCTTCGCTCGCCGAGAGGCCGGTGTCGGCGCAGGTACAGCCTGGATTCCTGTCTGCTTCCATCCCGACCTCCGCGCCCGAAACCGGTGAAGCGTGGGAGCGCATCGACAACGACTACCACAGCGTCATCATGCCCGGCATCACCCATTGGTAAGCACTCCCCCCTTTCTTTCAGCGATCGAATAGCGCGAGGCTGACATTCGGTGATTGGTGCGTCCAGGCAACATCCAAACTTCTACGGCTACTTTCCGTGCAACGCGAGCTTTGAGGGTGCGCTTGCCGATCTGTACTGCGCGAGCATCAGCAATCCCGGCTTCAACTGGTCCGTGTCGCCATCGGTAACGGAGCTCGAGATCCTGATGGTCGACTGGGTCGGTCGCATGCTCGGGCTCGACGATGCCTTCCTCTCCACCTCGGGCACTGGTGGAGGCATCATCTTGGGCTCGGCGAGCGAGGTGGCGCTGACGGTGGCGATTGCTGCTCGTGAGCGGTGCATCGACCGTCTCACGCCGCAGCACCCCATGCCCACTGTGCACACTGGCACGAATGGGGTGGGCAGTCTGGATGCGGATCAAGACGTCGCAAGCGCGGGTCAGAGTGCGGCAGAGGTGGGCGCTGATGCCACGCTCGTAGCCAATACACGCTTGGCTCAATGGCGAGGCGGTCTCACGTCGCGCCTGGTCATGTATGGAACGACGCAGACGCATACGATTGCTGCCAAAGCTGCCTTGATCCTCGGTCTGGATTTCCGCGCCCTTCCCGTATCTGCCGAATCGTCCTACTCGCTCTCTGGCGCCACACTCGCTGCTGCCATTGCCGAAGACGTGGCGCTGGGCCGCGTGCCGTTCATGCTCATCGCCACGATCGGCACCACGTCGTCCGGGGCGGTTGACAACCTGACGGAAATCGTCGAGGTGGTGGCAAAGCACCCGACGCTGTGGCTTCACATTGATGCCGCCTATGCGGGCGTCTGCCTGTCGCTGCCCGAACTGCGGGCGGAGATGCATCTGGATGCGATCAACAGCGCTGCGGTTGACTCGTTCAGCACCAACCTGCACAAGTGGGGACTTGTGCAGTTTGATTGTTCTCCACTCCATGTGCGAGACCGCGGTGACCTGTCGCGCGCGCTCAGCATCACCCCGACGTACCTTCGCACCAAGCAGGCGGATGCGGGCAACGTGCTGGACCTGCGCAATCTGCAGATCTCTCTGGGCCGTCGCTTCCGCAGCCTCAAGGTGTGGTTCGTGCTGCGCTCGTATGGTCTGGAAGGATTCCGCAAGCATCTGCGCACGACGATGCAGCTGGCCAATCACTTTGAAAGCCTACTGCGCGCGGACGACGCGGGGCTGTTGGAGATCGTGGCGCTGCCGAGGTGGGCGCTGGTGGTGTTCAGGATGAATCCGAAGGGCGAAGGAGTCGACGTGGAGCAGCTCAACAAGGCCTTTTGGGACGACCTCGAGGCGCAGTCGGCGCACTTTGTGCTCACACAGACCAGCTTGCCCGAGGTAGGCTTCTGCATCCGGTTTGTCGTCGGCAGCCCGCAGACGCAGCGACACCACGTCGAGCACACCTGGAAGCTCGTCGCACAGACCGCGCGCAGCACGTGGGCGCGTTTCAAGTCGTCTTGCACGTAAGTGGCACACAATTGAACAATGTTGGGGAGATTGCATGCAGTGTTCTACGACTGGAAGGCTGGGTGGGGCGTTACTTGAGCGGGCTGAAGGGGAGTGGACGCATGATCTGAGCATGCATCTTGTCGATGAGTTTGACGGTCTGGGAGACGGTGTCGTTCCAGGTCTCAACCTGCCATGCCTGGTCTCTGGTGCGTTTGCGCTCTTCGAGCGAGGGATACTCCCAGATGTGGAAGACGGTGTGGAGTCCTCCGATCTGGGTGAACCAGGCGCCGATGGGCTCTACGAACTTGCGACGCGCCTCGAGGCCGCGCCTCCAGTGCTGCTCCCACTCGAGCAGATGGCCGGGCTTGAGGTGGTACGTCCTGAGCTCGTACAGGCCGTTGGTGGTGCGCGGGGGCGACGAGGGCCAGAAGCTGAACTCCTGGGTGAGCCAGTTGGATCGGTTGCTGAGCAGCGGGCGCAGCTGCTTTGTGAACTGCTCAAAGTCTGCGTCTTGTCTGAGCGCCGCCTCGGCCTTGTCGTATCCGGCATAGCCGTCGTACTCCCAGATGTGGTAGAACGTCTCGAGGTCACCGACGACGACCTCCCACGAGCCGGTGAGGCGCATGGGCAGGCCCTTGGCGGCGAGCTTGGGTGCAAAGTCGGCGATGAGCGCACGGTAGGCGTCTGCGTGGCCGGGCAGCACCGACTGGCGCTGGATCTCGTGGATGTACTTGCCGCGTGCGACTTGCATCGAGTGCGACTGCGTCGTGACGCCCTCGGCCTTGGCCTTGTCCGAGCCGTGCAGCAGCGACTTGAGCAGGCTCTGCTTGGGCTGTGTACCGTCCGAGCTGGGCTGCTGCTGTTGGCCAGGGGCGGCGGCGGCGGAGGAGGAGCTCTGGTCTGCATAGACGGGGCGCGACGGGACGATGAGCGAGCGCGAGGCCACGAGCGTGGGGGCGGCGATGGTGCGCGCGGACCAGCCTCGAGTGGCGGCGCGCAAGCCTCGACCGGCGAGGGATGTGGACATTGTGTTGCGATGATTGGGATCGGTTGAGCCAATGTGATGGTGGTGGCGAGGTGAGGACGAAGACCAGACACGGCTCTATTTGTCTCGGGCTGCGACGCTCGAGCCACCGCTCTGCGCTCCAGGCTGAGCTGCGCTGCGAGTGTGGGGGGGCAGTCGAGTCGAGCTGTGGGGCAACTCGACTCCACTTGGCCCGTCCGGCCGGGATGAATTTTTGCGCATGTTAGATGTTAAAGTCTCACATTGGTAGGTGGCCAAAAATCTACCTGCCGCACCTTGCCGTCATCGAGGCTCGGCACAGCCCTAAATAGCCTGAACCGGCTCGACTGAATCACGAAGTCCGCCCTGAATCGCTCCACTTTGCTCTGTCGGCGCGTAAAAATCGATTCATTTCGCACAGCCTCGACTGGCCAGCCTGCTGTGATGCCATGCCATGCCATGCCAAGCCGGCTTTCACCGCTGCCCATCCAACCTCCACCATCCCCATCCACCACGCCACAGCTCGAGCAAGGATCCCATATACCCCCTTCCTCAAGCATCCCCCCACGCACCCACGCACCCACGCACCCACGCACCCAC